TGTTGGATTGGAGTGGGGTGTCCCCGATCCCTCCCAAAAAGGTTTTGTAAGTGTTGTCCACTACTGAGTAACTGGCTGGGTACGAAGTTGGCACAACACAAACAAAAACAACCGCTCAAAAGCAACTGTCTGGCTTTCAAAGGTCTTTGACTGTGAACTAAACAAATTGAATATCACTTCGAAAACCTGAACATCTTTGTCTGCCATTCGCGCCTGGAGCCAACTGCCCCGGTTGCCACTGCAGCCGGATGAACTTGCTGTCAGGCACACGCACATTGAACCTGCAAGAAATGTGGTGAGCATCCGTCAAGAAGTGTGTATACAACTCTCAGCAACGAGTCTTTTGAACATGGTGATGTTTTCTATAGCGGTTAAACCATTGTTGAAACCTTCCCTCAATATGGAGGGGTCGGAACCTCATATGTACGGGTCTGCGGTCGAGCCAATCTATGCTGTGAACGGAGCGTCTGAGCATGTTTTGTTCTACCCAAACGCTCCGTTCACACAACCCTTTGGTCCCTCAAAACCGGGATTGCTTCGAAGCTCCGTTCACACCCCGAATCCCCCCGAGCACGACGTTCCCGGAACCGCGGCCGAGTCCGGCGCGTGGCTTCCCCCGAGGCCGGGAAAGCGCTCGGAGGGCCTGGTGACGTCCACCTCGAGGTTCCGGATGTAGAAATGCCTCGGGGAGGGACTGGGCGACAAGTCCAGTGAACCGGGCGGCTTCAAACGGCACAGGTGAACCGGTCATGGAACAAAAACATGGTTACGTGGATGGCACCCCCCTGTTTGGTAGAAGAACATGGGCTTGCCAGGGGGCCATGCCATCCACGTAACCATGTTAACTCCAGGGAGTGTAAATCCAAACACCTCACCGACGAACAGGATCCGGTTTTCAGTGCGGGTTTGGACCTGGGTCGGACCTGTCGCACTGTCGTGGTGTGAAGCGATCAAACAGTCAAATCCGACAGCGAAAGAACTGGTCAATCCCCACCAAACCGCCACCCACAGCTTTTGCTGTTGGTTCTCCACGCAAAAAACGTGAAAGACCGGAGCATCAAGGTGAACTGAACCGAAACCACCTGGATTTTGAGCTCAGCGTTCACTCCTGAGCTCCTCAATTTCAGGGTCAAGTGCTGCAGGTGGTCCATGTACTTCCATCCTGTCTGGGTCTCCTGGCCGAACTACCCTCCAATACTACTTCAAGTAGTATTGGAGATCCGAACACCCAGAACGGATGGTCCAGGTAGGATCCGGCATACATTTTCGGCCATGTCTTCCTTTCATCAGACCGAAAAGAAACACAAAGCAAACAAACATTACAAAAGGACTCGACCAAGGTCACGTTCGCCACGAGTCACCGTGCCCCCTGGCACCAGATCTGCACCGCGCCGGAGGGTGGTGGATATCCAGAGACGTCTTCTGGGATCAGGGATGGGTGGAGAAAAACTCCATGACTCATTAACAAATCAGGTCATGTTCATGTTCACCTTCGAGGTATTCCATGGTTTCAAGATCTTTCGATGTCCTTCGCAGTTCGCGTGGATCCGTCCCCGTCCCGGTCGTCGCAGTTAGCGCGCTCAGCGGCTCGGGAGTCCGGTGGGTCGGGGGCCAAGGAACATTCGGTACAAAGAGCCCTGACCTCAAAATCCGAACGAAACAAGGCGCGTCCCGGGTCCAGAGGTGTCCACTGGGACGGTGTTCAGGGACGGAGACTGGATTATGTCCGGTTCCAGGCGGGGAAGAAGGCGATGAGAGCTGGGAAAAAGGACTGGTGTTGTTGTCCCTGCACAACCACGTCCACCTGCAAGAACCCAATTCCAACCTGAGTGAGATGGCTTGAAAGGCATCCTTGCGAATGAAATGAACCAATCTTCAGTCTTTCTTCTCCTGCAAATGATTCTAGTGGCCTGAAGTGCCCAAGTACTTTCTCAGGTACGGTGATTGAAGACACTGTTATGCAGGTGCCAGGAGGGTCCAGCCATACCTTCTGAGAAGGTGGCAGTGGATCCATAGGGTGTGAATTTCTGGATTCGCATACGTCATGTCGGTCAACTGGCACCCATCATGCCAATATGTAGCACACACACACACAGTACTTTTTGATTTTTGAAGTACAAAAAAAACTGAACACCAAGGGCCCACGGGCAGCTATTTTGGACGCACCCACACCTCCTGAGAGTTCTTGAAGCACGGGGTCCCGGGTTGGGCCCCAACTCACCCAAACAAAAGAAAAGGAGAGCAAGCGAGTGGGGAAGCTTCAGCATGCCACGCTTTGGGTCGTTAAGTATTGGTTCATGGCCAATTTTTGAGCAATCAGTTCACTACAACTCCACTGAAGGGGTGATTTCAGTGGTTGTTGAGTTAAAAGAAAATGTTCAAAGCTGCTGCTTGACCCACTTTGGAGTTTAAGACACCCAAAAAAACAAACCATTCACGTTAAATTCCGTTAGATATACTACGCTCCTATCCAAAAATCCTGAGGCTCGAATAATGCCTGACGTGGTTTGAGAGTAGATGGCATAAATCCACCAAACTTGGGAGCCCTTGTGCCATCTACTCTGCAACCACTGCACATGGTCCAAATAGAAGGCATACACTCCCTGAAACCCTCACAGAAGTGGAATATAGAGCATGTTTGTAGAAGAAAACAGTCGTCTTTCCAGTGGAACTTCCAAAACCCTATAGTGGAATATAGAGCAAGAGTGGATTCTATAGTGGTTTCTCCCTGAAACCATGTTCCACTTCCAAGTGTTCCAACGTTCAACCACGTTGGAACTGGTTGCCAAGGCCGCGTACCCCGCGTCCCCAGGGCACGTACCGGACTTACAGGGCTCCTCACGTAAGAGTCCAAAGCGACAAGCGCCGGGCACGATCTGTCCGCCGACGAAGACGGTCGCATCGAGCGCGCGAGGCATGGACGGTTGGGCGACCCGGTGGACACCCGTGAGGCGAGGAGAAAAGGGACGCCGGTGAAGGGGATGGATCCGGAGGGCAGATGCAAAAGGAAGATGCAAAACTATCATGAACGACATGGTTCAATTGGTGAACACCTGTTGGTGACCCTGGGTCATAAAAAAGTACTTCATCAGATGTGTTGTACATTGAAATCATTGAAACATCTTAAGTTGGTGACGTTTCTTTCAAGTTTCATGCGGCTTTTGCTGTTCTGTTTCCGATGGATTCTTTGGCCAACATCCATGGGTTTTGCAGGGTGTAAGATCCACCGAAAGAAAACAAACCAAGCTCAAGAGACCTCAAGTGCAAGATACTTCAGCCGAACAAAGAGTTTCAGATGGTTTCAGTATCCCTTGAATCTTAGCCCGTTGTGTTGGTCAATCAATGTCAATCAATAAATAGTCAATTGTCCAGGCCACACAACAACTACCAGGACCCTCCAAGGGGTGTCTATTTATAGGCCTTAGCTGTTCAGGGGTGTCCATTAACCACCCCTTGAAGGCCCTGGTATGTGTCATCATGTGGCAAAGTCCAGGTGTTGCCTACATGGAGGTCAAATTCAAACGAATTCCTTTGGACAAACTCACGTCATGAACCATGTTTATAAACACATCCCTGGGTGATGTACAATCGTGTTTCCTTGCGATGGATGCCCATCTGCCGCTACGTGGGATATCGGTCGACCCAAAACGTGTGTGTTCTCTGACCGGTCGAAACCGACCGGTGAACTGAAACCACCCGTTGCATAGACCGGTGGGTTAACCTCCAATCCCATCTAAAGGGTGACCTGCAGTTGTCCGGCAGTTTTCTCCCAAGTCTTCCTCCAAAGGTGAGCTGCACCTTCTCCACTTTGCCTGCATTTACCCACGCATCCCGGGCGAAGGTCCTCTCTCATGAAGTTCCATCCCGGGTGAAGGTCGTCTTGGTTTTGGACCGGAGGTTTCACCACTTTTCCTCCTGTACCCAGGGCTCCGAGATCGCGTTTCTTCGCCTCCACCATCATGTGATTGTCGCCCAAGCCCTGGAGAGTATGGTGAAGGTCGGCATATCGATGGATTGGTTGAAGGATTCCAGGATGTTTTGAGGGAACATCTATAGACAAGAAACCATGGTGTTCATCCCCAAAAGTGTGGGATTCCTGTGGATTTTCCTTCAACCCATTCTGACAGCATGGGAAACTTCATGAACCAGCACTACACTCCGACGAAGACATGGCATGGAAGTCGAGCGCATAGCTGGGACACGACAAAGACAGACCGTTCTTCTGAATTCCGTTGGTTTCCTGGTGATCTTTTCTAGGTGAATCATCGTGAAACCAACTGTCCACTTGGATTCGAATGGGGAAACGTTCCAATGCCCCCAAAAAGGTGATCTGCTGGTGGTCCATGGACTTCTTGGGCGGGCTGTGCAAAGGAAGACGTCTTCTCATCTCCGGACAACTGCAGCTTCTCCACTTTTCCGGTGTAGGGACATGTACTGTACCTCTGTAGACCTGGTACCCTGCCTGTCTTGGTATAACCCTGGACCAACTCCCCCGAAAAAACTGCCAAAACCCTGCAGCTTGTCAATGCAGCAGATGCCAGAACATCAAACACTACGGGAGAAGTGACTTGCCTTGCTGGTTTCCTTTTTTTGTGTAAGTAACATATGCAACATGTAACCATGTATAACATTGTAAATGAAATCAGAAGAACAACTAAACTAGAGTTCTTTTGTGCGTATGTGCGCTTCAAATTTCCAGGTTCGAAGGGTTGAGCAGCAAACGCGGGTATGTGAGAACGCCGATGTGCGGTGGCGACCCTTTGCCTGACGGGATCTTTGGGGGGTGGTTGAAGAACTCGTGGCTGAAGTTGAAGCGGTTCCGTCGGGTTGAAACAAATATGGTGTTCAAGGCTCGATTGGCTCGGAGCACGACGAAGAGAAACTTATTGAGATTTGTTCGGGGCCCTGGATCACTTGACCTCGACTTCACCTCATGCCACCCTCCCATTTTGGTACAACTCCCATGTATAAGTCCAGGGGGGCCATGCTAAACGCAGTGCCTGGACCTCTGCCTTTCTTCAGTCGGCGCTAACATCATGTGCATATGCCCGATGCATTTTGATATTGTATCTTTATCTCGTTTATCTTTTCCTTTAACTCACCATGCTTCGGCAACTCACAGGCAACCCGGGCACTTTCATCGCAAGAGCTTCATCATGGCCACATGCCGAATAATAATGGCATTGAAACTGAATACAAGGCTTGTTGCACTGCGTGGTCTGCTGTCAGAGAGCAGCTTTCCATGGACGCGTAACCGAGATGAGCATAAAAACCTGTTGCCGATGGTGTTGCCAACAGAATGATGGCGAGATGACCTTGCCGAGCGGCTTCTAGCTCCATCGCTCCAATAAGCACACCACCTGCGCCCGCCAGAACACTGGTATAGGCTCCCACGCCATCGATTTCAAGAACACGGCCTCCTTGCGACAGGGCGCGCGCTTTGCACATCACCCCGCCCACTACTTTGCAAGCTGTGAAAACTATAGGCGGGCATTGCTCCATCTCTTCGACAGAATGCGTTGCGTCCCCAATATTGCCGCACAAGCGGGCAAGGATCAAGCGCTGGGTCTCCTGCCTCATCTCCGCTGTGGGTTGCTGAAGAACTTGCCATTTCCGCTCTGCAGACGAAGTCTCTTCAACCAGCTCATCATCGTCAAGTCTGCAGCCCGGAACTGCAACAGGGTTTTACCGGGAACATCAATGAACTGACGCTTCCGCCAGGCACGCTGGATAAGAGCCCGGCTCAAAATATGCACTCCAGCCTCAAGATCTACGTCGATGCCATCCCTGTTCTCGGCGCTGCCTCCGTTGCGCGCGCGCTCGCAACGCCTCAGTCGCCGCCTGGCACTTTGGCCACAGGCACCTTGTAGCAGCTAAGGCTACACAACTTGCCGCCGAACACATCAGCAACAGGCAGGGCTGTTGGTTTCTAGCTCTTTGGCTTTCAGCCAACAGCTCAGCAGCCTCGATGGAAGGCAAAGGGCCATCCGGCCATTGAACTGCGGAGCCTTCAGCAAAGTGCTCCGCAACCAGCGCACCAGTCAAAGCCAAAGATGGTAATACTTGCAAGGTGAACATGCGACACGAAGCGGCTTAAATGTTCTGACCACTTGAGCCGCAGTTCTGTAACAGCATGTTTATGTGTCCAGACTTGAAAAAGGTATGTCCCACTCTGCAACTTCCTGTTCAGCGATAACTCGAGGTCGTTGGTTGAAGAAGTAACAAGACTAGTGACTAGATGATTGATGCATAAGGACACCACTGGTTGCATCAAATATGTGAATGTACGGAATGACGAATCAACTCCAGACATATTCGCCGGCCTTGGAACTGGATGAACCCATGAAGTTGAAGAAACTAATGCAGGTGAATTGCTCAGACATGCTCACTCAGGTGTTTCACCATGGGAGCACTCATCAGCAGAGCGCCCGGGGCAGCTTCTTCAGGGCCGCCGTTCGCGCTCGCAAGCGCGCATGCGCTCGTTCGCTCGCGCCGGGGCGAAACGTCACGCCTTGACCTCCGAGCGCTTGTGCGCCAGCGCCGAGGTGTTGATCTTGCGCCCCGTGGGGCCCTCCACCTGAGCGACCGGGGCGGAGGCAACGGGGATGGTGATTTCCCCAGGCTGAGTGTAGGGCCGAGACCGGGAGACGGCACCCCAAACGTGTGTCCTTCCAGCACCTTCATGTCGGGGTCACCTGGCTGGTTTCGCCCCAGCCCACTACCTAGGGATCTCCAGCCAGGACGCCCCTTTGAAGGTCCAGGTTCAGATGTGGGTTTCTGACGACATTGGAGCTCCAGAGAGCGGTTTCGTTAGTGGAACATGACATGGATCCAGTTTGGTCAGTTCAGTCGGTGGAGCTTCTCAAATGGTGCTGTATCCATATGATTCATGATGATGTTCATCCCTCATGTGTGGATCTGCAAACTTCCCAACAACAAGGAATCTAGCTGGGAAATCAGATTTGCTATTCCTTGGGGATCTTGACTTTGAACCACAACTGCAAAATGTCGGATGCAACACCACCAGCTCCGCTCAGCCTGCCTCGAGGTAGTCTGTGTTCACACCCACATAGGCTTGCGAGATCTTGCCCTGAGAATGTCTCACGCTGTGACCCGATCCACTTGAGCTACGGCAATTCTCAACATTGAGGTTCGATCTTGAGTGTACATGCACCAGTACCACCGAAACGGGTGGTTGTTGAAGAGACAATGAAAAGTCAGGGGTGTCTGTAGACCATCCTTTTCGTGGTGCCGGCGAGGAACAGTTCTGAATGTATAGTCATCAATGGTGTAGCAGCTCCCAACTGTCAACGAAATCCACTCTTCACAATGTTGTTTCCTGACCCGATTTCCGCCTGGTTGATCCTTGTTCGGCCCATGTGGAGAAGGAACAAGCAGCTACTTCTCCCACTATACCCTCTTCCCCTATAGTAACAAGCAGCTACTAGTCGTTCTCACTAGCTACAAGGTTGCCATCCGACTGATGCAGTACCTCTTCCCCTCTCATCTCAGACCTGAACTCCTCCCGACCGCGCCTTGGGCCCTCGAGGCTCACCATAGACGTCCCACATCGGCGCCTCGAGTCCGCCGGCGAGGCGTCGCTTTGCTTCGCGTCGTGACGTGTGTGGCTCGGCGTGAAACGAACCGCCCGCCGTTTCGTTTCGGCGAAGGTCCAGATGCGTTTCGCTCGGCAGTTGAGATGGCGCGGGTGGGCTGTTCTTGGTCATCGTTTCGACAGCGGCACCCCACGGAGTGGAAGGGGTGTTCAAGGGGCGGACGTGGACCGCGAGATGTGTTGTTTGGTTTTCAATTGCGAAGATGGGGGAGACTTCGCTTCTCATTGTGGGGGGTTCATTCCTCTAGTGAAGAACAACAGAAATAAGAGCGAAGATGGGGTGAAAATCCCTCCAGCAATGCTGCAGTGCAGCAATGCCCAGCAAACCTGCCACCTTCAACACGGGCTAGGGTATTCCATTGGAGACTCCAACAGGAAGGTGTTGGTGTGTTTGTGTGTGTGCTTTTGGAATGGGCTGAGAATCTACCGGCGATTGTCTAATTGAAAGCTACATTGGCGGGAGTCGTGGCCCACCAATGCATGGTCCCTTGCGCAAGCATGTCGCCAAACAAAAGCCTGGGCGGAGGCAGAACAGGCTTTCAACCCAGCAGCCTTTCTGCATCCTTATAGGGACTTTCTTCTTTGTTTAGGTGTGTCTCCAAACATGAATCTTCTTATGCAGATCAGATCGAATGAAGGATTCAATTCTCATGTGACAGGGGAGAAAACAGTTCGGCTCACTTGCCAGATGGTACTCCAAACAATCACAGCTTCCAAAATACATTCCTGGTAAAGTACCAGGTGTGCACGTGTTTGATCTTTCGAAAATGTTATGGCCACTGATACGTTTCAGAATTTCTAGCAACCATTCTGTGCCCTTGATCTGCATGCATATGACGGAAGATTCCGACATCTCCATCTTTCAACAACTTGCCTGGATCTGGATCTAAAGAAGGAAAACCACAAGAGATTGGACCATCGCCCCACGTGCCACCTGATCCGGATGTTCCACGGTGCCTTCTTATCCGGATGAGGTCCCACCGGTGCTTCATCTTGCACCGGTGCCTGAGGCCGGCGGTCCGACTCGCAGCCGTGCGGGTTCCGCGGCACCGGAGCTGGTGTTGGTGGAGAAGGAGCAGCTCATGGTGTTTCAGAAAACACAGGAAGCATGCAGATTTGAACTACTGATGTACAGCAAAGCAGGCAAGACAGGAACGCTGCAGATTGGTCTTCCAGAACCGTTGTAGCTTCCTGTCCGACTGCAGCAGTGTCAGAAGTCAAATACTGCCTCTGGTTGTGCATGGACGTGCTCCTTTCGGCTTGATGCTTGGAGGTTGTGGCTATCTCTGACTACCATGAAATGAAGGGTGGCCAACCGAACAGTCAGCAATTCGTGGCTTTAGCATGTTTCAGTGATTCCAACCACCACCTGCTGGATTTTGTTTCATCTTGCAATGGCCCGGCGCATCGTCCAGGAATGGCCCCGGGTCGCACCGGTTTCTGTTTGCAGTGGTTTCAGAGGTTCGAAGGCACACATTTAACCACCCAACTTGGGGGTCCAAACATGCCAGAACCATCTGAAGCACTCAGACCTCCCACACCCGAGATGCCGGAGTAGGTTCCCGCCCTAACCGCGGCCCCGGGCAATGGGAAATCGGTCACCGGGTTGGAAGACCAACCTGAGCACCGACGAGAAACGTCGACCAGCGCAGCGCGAAAGGAAGGAGGTCGTGACCAGATGTGCATCGTCCCTCCTGCAGGTCGTGACCGTGTGCAGACGCTTCGCTTGGATCCCAGCGAAAAAACACGCGCGACGCACACAGCAGCTCAAGCAAAAAGCCCACCGGCTGAGATCTCCGGCTTCTCACCATCATCCTCGTGTAAGGCACCAAACTGCACGTGTGGCACGTGGGGAGCGGCGCAGCAGGAGAGATGCTGCATGAGGGTGGTGATATCAGTGACCCGATCAGGATCCAGACCCTGAAAAAAGATTTTGAGGGTACTACAAACCTCTCTGTTATAGAGGGTTCGACCCTGCTATGGAGGGTCCAAGGATCCTTAAGGGATAGTGAGATAGAGGGCTTAAGCATACCTTTCCAACATGTTGGACTGCATCACATGTCCACAAGACTCAGCTGGTGCCTACTCCCTTCAGCTGGTGTAGGATATCTCCGTGTAGGACATCCAAAAAACAATTTAAACAAACAAGTAAAAACCACATCAAACACACACCAAACAAACACAGAACAATTTAAACAACACCTCCTCCCCACCTCTGGCACGTTGAAATCCGCACTGAGCTTCGGCTGCCCAGGCCATTCCTCCTCGCTCAAAGGTGCAAAGATTGGCGAATCGCAGGGGGGTTCTGATGTCTTTGGGTATACCACACAAGGACGCTACTAGGGGCTGCTGGCATCGCTACTAGGAGCAAGAAGCTACTAGGGGCTCCTGGCCTTACTACTAGGAGCAAGGACGCTACTAGGAACCGGTTCTTCAAGGGAGCTTCACACAAGAATATTTTAATCCCCAAAAAGTGTGACCTGTTGTATTCATTAAACACAATTGCAATCTGTTGTATTTTTTCTTGTATATTAATAAGTATTCAAAAACAATCCAGAGCGTTCTTTTTGGCTAATTCATCAATTAAACACATCTGTTGTGGATTCTTTTTTTCACCACAAGAATCCCCATATGTCTGTCGATGATGCCATGGGTTTCTGGCATATCGTTGACTTACACAGTTGGGTTGGTTTCAGGATCCATGTAGGTCAATATTCTTGAAACCAGGGGACTGTGTGAGAGTGCAGTTTTTTTTCTGCACTCTCACACTCTCACAGTTCCCCCGCACTCATATTCTTTGGATGGCCGCACGCGGAAGCTGAAGATTTCTGGACAAGAAAGGTTACTAATTACTACCTGGAGTCTCAGTTCGTACCTCAGAAAATGGGTACAAGTGCCTGTTTTTATGGGGTCATGTCCCATTTTCTAAGGTACTTTGGATCGAGGTACATTAACCTTAAGTTCCAACTGTTGGGTTTTAGTGGCAAGAAAAGAGCGGTCAGCAAAGTTCCAACCCAGAACTTCAGATTGTCAAAGTGGATAAACAAAGATATCTCCTTGGAACTCTTGAAATCAGCCAAAATTCAACATGTTTCCAGAAGAATCAGTAGGTTGTGGTTGCACAGCTGCCCGCTTTTAAGATAGCTGCGGAATCTTTTTCTTTCTGAGGTGGTATACTGACCAACTGGCCACACACCCTCCTTGAGAGTAGGTTCCCTTTCTGTTCCATTTTGTATCGCGCGTGACTTGCGCACCTTCGAGTTGGTTTCGAGCGACAGTTACCCGCTTGAACCGAGTTGGTTGTCCATATGGAGTGACATCCCACTGTGCAACCTGGAAGTACAAGAAAGCCCTTAAGATCACAAAACCTTAAGGGATGGTTGCACTCCGGCCATGCCATCCACTTCCATGAGGTTTCCCGGGGGGGATCATATGAAGACCCACTTATCGGTATCCAGGTCGCATGTGTTCCACCTCTACCCTTCCTCCAACGTCGCATGGAAGTGGAAC